TGTGTGTGTGTGTGTTTGTGTGTGTGTGTGTGTATGAGAGAGAGGGAGAGAGAGAAAAGGAGAGAGAGCTTCCGGGTACTTGTAATTTTGCGAAGGGATCGTGCGCAATCAATAACATGGATCTAGACCTACGGTTACTGCCCTGCCACGAAAGGCTTTCCAGTGCCTTGGCCTCTAATCACATAAAAGCAGCTGTTATCATGCACCCGTTCACTCTCACCCGACAACTATCCGCTTGACCTCAGTGCCTTCCGCTTCCAAAACAAAACACAAAAATGGCTTGACAAGTATTCTTTGGTTTACACTCCCATTGTCATTGTATTCACTCTTTGAGAGTTTTTGTTTTGTTTTTTGTTTTGATGTTTGTTTTGTTTGTTAGTTTGTTCTTTGTTTTTGGTTTTTTTATGTTTGGGGGGGGGGGGCATGCTCCTCAGCAAGAGGGGCTATCGTAGCCTACTTACTGTCTTTTGACAAAATTACTTTAGTTATGTAAACAACAAAAGCGTTGAAACTACGAATTAAGTTCGTTCATTTTCTCTTCGACAGTGAACTTGAGGATTTGAGCAACGATCCTTCGGTGAAGTGTTTGGGGAACTGTGGTCATGGAGTTAAAAAGATCCTCTACTCAGGTAAATACATGAGGAATGACACTTCTGCCTTTTATATGGGTACTACAATCTATTTGGCACTGTTTTTCTTTTGAAGGTGAGTTGTTTCAGGTGAAAAGGTAAAGGACGAGCCAGAAGGAACCAACGAGGGTTAAGACTTTTCACCAAAATAGGCCTAAATATCAACGTATGAGATGCATGGAAATCAAGACAGTAAAATCCTGACTTTGATACTGACTCAACTGACCACAAGTGCTCTGTTTTTGGAAAGTTCTTCAAAAAATAAGAATAGCGTTTGGAAGTCTCAAGTAAAGCCGTAAGAAGTTTTAGCAAATTAAATTAACCCTATGTCTAGGCAGGTAGGTGGCGCTAGCCAAAGCGACCATCGTGGCACAAACCGATAGCCCGACTCGCAGCCTCAAAAAACAAGTTTCTTTTCAGGCCTCGAATCCGGCGATCGGTTGGCGATCGGTTGGCGATCGGTTGGCGATCGGTTGGTATAACCACTGGGTATAACATGCTAACTGCCTGCGGTAGCTAGTAAGGTCTACAAATTCTCTTCCTCTTTGATGTTTTAGACCATCTTCAAATGGATAAACTATAGATATTATTAACTATGTTTAATAGTACATGCCATAATGCTCTTCTTCCAAAGGAGGAGGTTCTGCCTCTTTCTGCCAAGGATCAGTATTTAAGCCCTCTGCCCACTGATGTGGCTGGAAAGGGGTAGGGACATTTCGATGTTCCTTTACTTGAACCTCCCTTAATAATCAACTCTTTACCATTGGGCACAGCCATTAGTATTCAGTTGGAATACTCAGAAACGATTATTTTTCTCGCCTTCAGTAGCGAGTTAATGTGTCCTTTAAATGTCATTATTGACAGCATGAATGGAATGCATAGCGGGTCAGCGAGAAGATGGATATGCCTAGAGGAGAGTAAGATATTGGATAATTAACATTTATACATTATTTGTCTGCTTTGATGGCCAAAGAAATTTAACCTTAAGTTAAATTCTTTTTAAAAACCAGCAAGCAAGTTTGTGTAACAGTTCTTGTGTACATATTGGTGTGAATATTTGGTGTTTAAAAAAAATTTCTTTGGTTGTTTTTTTTTTGGGGGGGGGGGGGGTTGGGGGGGGGTTGTTTGTGTATATGTGCGTGTGTGTGTGCGTGTGTGTGTGGGGGGGGGTGTAGGCCGTTTCCAAGAAATGTATCGCTAACATAGTTTGAAGAACATAGTTTTGTATGGTTGTTGTTTTTGTTGTTGTTTGTTTATTTTTAAACTAGCAATTTCTGTTTATCTGCAGATCCCCAAAACATTGAAGACAAGCTGAAAAATGCAAAAAACTTTGTTCCGCCCAGTGGCCCGTCGCCCGTACCTCCCCCTCGCAGAAACCGTGCTCGTGACCTCGGGGCATCTCTGAGTGATCTGCGAGGCATTCCCCAATATCATCATCATAAGGGCATTGGCTCTCGTCGCTTCAGCGTGCCAACTATCATAGTGTCGGGAGATGCTCAATCCCGGGGCGCCACTGCTGGCAAAAAGGTGAAGGAAAAGGAGAACTTTGGAAAATCGCAAACGCCAAGCACTGAGGTCGCAGGGAATCAAGAACCAAGGCGTTTGAGGAGATCATCGGCTGTAACACAACCACAGGTATACTTCTGACCTTAAGATTGGGGGGGGGGTGGGGGTGGATGGATGTTTGGGGTTTTTTGTCGGGGGGGGGGGGGCTGACTTTGTATATCTTCTTGCTGTTTATCATGTTTTAAATATCTATGTCCACAAATGTGTAATTAATAACAGAGCACGTAGAGTAATAAACCCATGTATTTATAACAATAGCAATAACAATATAAAACAAAACGTTTTAATCCCTCAACCAGAAATTCCTTCATGTATTTTTTGGATGTTTCGTGAAAGAAACAAATCCACTGATTTTCACTTACAAATTGATCACCAGAACCAGCAGCTGAGGAAGGAGAGGCGGCGTCACAGTGAAGTCACAGCGCCAAGGCATGGGCGTTCCCGACGCTCGGGTGTGGTGAACACGGACATCACGGAAATCACGGTTCAGATGTTGAAAGAACAGTACAGAAGTCCGTTCGACACGTCAGAATACCCATCAGAAAGTCTAAGAAGGACATCTCTATCGCGAACTCCTTCCCCCAAAAATCGATACTCACATTCAATGGGTTTTGAATCTAACACAAATATATCTCTTGATGACGATTTATCTCTTGGTATACTAGCTGCTGACAGATTTGATTCGAGTCTGAGACACAGCCCTAGAAGCAGCCCTAGAAACAGCCCTAGAAGCAGCCCTAGAAATAGCTATAGAGGTACCGGTAAAGTGGAGCATGAGGATGTGGTTAGTTCAGTCAGCTCCTGGTTGAACACTTCAGTCGCTCGTGGCAACAAAACTGGAAGTTTCTCCAGGTCACCTAGTTCTCTCAGATCTTCAGTGGGTTCTGAAGACTCCTTGAATTCCCTAAATTCTTCATTGTCCCATCACAAGGGCGTCCATCATGTTTTTTCCGCACCAGGTTCGGCCAGTGGAAGTCCCAGCAGCTTACGTCGAGTTACTTTTGATAACAAACCCTACAAACAGGCATCATTCCTCTCTCCGTGCCCTGAAGAGCAATCGCCAAAACCCTGGCTCTCATCGCATTCCAAGATGTCTCTATCTGAGCTTGATCTAACTTCGCAGCAGCGGCAGAAGCAACAGCAGCAACAGCAGCGACAGCAGCGACAGAAGCAACAGCAGCAACAGCAGCAACAGCAGCAACAGCAGCAACAGCAGCAACAGCAGCAACAGCAGCAACAGCAGCAACAGCAGCAAAGCGCCACAGACCTCCAAGACGAATGTCTCAGCAGTTCATCTAAGATAGGCTCAAGAGGTCGGGCACGCTCACACTCCCCAACTATACCTGGTAAAACATCTCGTCATTCTGAGAGGAGCTCCAAACAATTCCTCAGTTGTGACTGGGGATCTGAAGACCTACCAGATCAAACGCCCGCAGACTCAGCAGATGACAACAACTCTGGGACACTCCGAAAACCGCAATTCCTGAAAAAGAGTAAGCACCCTTCTGCTTTTGGTTCGTCTCTGTCCAGCTCCAGAGGTGAACTCAATCTGGGCAATACCGATCAATCGGCAAGCTCCAATCTGGACTTCGTAGATGCAAAATCACCCAGCTCAAGATCATCTAGAGATGGTCATGTTTTCCCTGTTGAGGAAAATTCTAGACTGAAAGCGCAATCAGACTCTCCTCCCTTTGCAATAGTTGATGAAAGAAGAAACGTCTCTGCTTTCGACACGTCGGGTTACTCAAGTCAGCCCATTGATTTGTTGGCCAACAATGAGTTTTGCAGCTCTGAAGGCATCGCCCAGGAGCTCCATCCTGACTCATCCGAAGACGCCGCGACAGAGACCTCAACGTCTACAACCGCCCCAGACACTAATTATACTCGTAAAGCTTACACCCACAACAGTTACCTCGCTGACAATATCAGTGCCAAAAACACAAACACTGAGTTTGAACATTTTCATGACATGAACGCGAATGAGAGATACCAGGAAGAGACTATCACCTCCGAAGTGGATTCCAGTGACGACCGATCAAATTCTGCAGCGGCGGAGAGCGGAGATAACTGGGAAGGACGCTTCTCTGAGTCGGTTCGGGACTCCTGTGATTATTTTGATCCGTCAGCCTTGCGGGTGGCAGACGAGGAATCCCTTAGCAAAGCTCCGCCTCCACCTCCGAAGTTAGACCTGGCCGCCCTTGGCTTTCTCGATTAGATAGAACGTTGTTGCTTGTTCTCACGCCCACAAGTGAACTCCGACACAATAGTCAGGAAGACACTGATCGACAACTGTTTGGATGACTCAGTATTAGTTTTAAGACGTGTCCTCTGTTGTTTTCCCAGAGTCTCTTTTTACACACATAATTATTGTGCTTATTGCCCTGTTGTATCATAAATTAATATTATTTGTGAAAGTTCCTTCATTATGACTGCCAGAATTGTTAATAGATGTGAAAAGAATTCTTTCTTAGATTTTTTTAAAATATTGATCTAGACTTTTTGTGTTGGGCCACACTTGTCATACTCAGGCTCACGGACCGCATCCGGCCCGGCTAACAATTATATCCGGCCAACGAGAGAATTTTAGGTAGTCTGTCCTGAGTCTCTATAACACAGAACCTCATTCCTAATACAAACAAACTGGTTGCCAAGACAAGAGGCCGAGCTTCCAGCTCTGACAAACTGGCGTTAGAGCGAAAATTGGTATGGCTTGGTTTGTGTTTACTCTAACGTTTGTCCTTTTAAATTCCTATAATATTTGTTTTAAATAATTTAAGTTTTTCACTGCTGAATGAGTGTTTAACTAGTTTCACCCCAAACCTTAGGTATAATTTGACTTTTCACCCCCCAATCAATTGAGTTGTACACCCTTGTATTAGCTACGAGCAGAGCGTTAAACAAGGCTTACTCAAATTATTCAAATTGTAAAGAAGGAATACACAAGTAAGAAGAAAAGTACTATCCTCTAATGGGAAAAGAGCACATTTACTTACGAGGAGATATAACGCCAAGGAGGGTTCTTCCACTATTAGAGTGCATGGGTCAAATGTTGGGACAGAGTACGAGCACATAATCTGCCTTTGTGTGTGTGGGGGGGGGGGGGGGGGGTCTTTCACGTATAATGGTTTAAGGAGTGCCATTACAAAACGAGAACTTTCCACGGAGTCAAGATTTAATCCCTTGTTGTTGGCCATAAGCAACCAGACAATCATACTGCACTGATTTGAATTATGATTACCTGTGTCTTTCGGTTGTATTCATGTCTTTTATTTTGAAAAAAAAATATTTTAATTTTTTGGTCTAAGTTCTGACTATGAATTTAAATCATATCAAACGGCGCCTGCTATATAATGTTCAGGCTCTTTGCCGTTGCAGGAACCGTGCGTTTCTTCAATCCTCAATTTAGAAAGTCTTATTACGCAATTACCATTGATCGATAATAATTGGTGATGCCGATACTGCCTTTTTTCGTTTATTGTGACATGAATGTATTATTTTAAATGAATGCCTATAATAATAACATATTATGTTCTTGGACTTTGCTTTCTATAATAAAGGGATTGTATCTTTTACGACGTTCCATACCCCCCCCCCTCTCTCTCTCTCTCTCTCTCTCTCTCT